TGCCTAGGTAGTCAGGCACTGGTGGGCGTGCCCCTGCACCTGCACACACCTAGGCAGTCACAGCACTGGTGGGCATGCCCCTGCACCTACACACACCTAGGCAGTCACAGTACTGGTGGGTATGCCCCTGCACCTGCACCCACCTAGGTGGTCACAGCACTGGTGGGTGTGCCTCTGCACCTACACACACCTAGATAGTCACAGCACTGGTGGGTATGCCCCTGCACCTGCACACACCTAGGTAGTCACAGAACTGGTGGGTGTGCCCCTGCACCTGCACACACCTAGGTAGTCACAACAGTGGTGGGTGTGCCCTGCACCTCCCTGTGCCTAGGTAGTCAGGCTCTGGTGGGCCTGCCCAGTGTACTTGCACAACTGCACTTGACGTGGACACTGGCTCTGGCCCTGAGGTTGGTGCCGCAGTGTTTCCAGTCAACGTGGGTTGGCTGCTCTCAAGGCTCCCCCACATCACCCCATGAGCATCCTTAGAGGTGGAACCTGCTGCTCACAGCCTCTGCTAGCTAATCTTGGTCCCCAAAACATTTTCTTTCCTAGTTTAAATTGGGAAAGGGAATGGAAGCAGTTTCTTACCCCGACACTGTCATTATGTTCTCATCACCATCAACCTGAAGGGAAACACCTCATTTGCTCCAAAGACCAGAGCTTCCCTTGGAATCTGCCCCGGGCTTTGGCTCAGCCCCTCACATCCATTATCATCACAGGCTCATCATGAGAGCTACAGACCAAGGCAGCATCTGAGGATCTGTATCCTCTGTGTTGGGACACGGGACATCATCAGTCCAGCTGAAGGGAAACTGCTCTGCCAGCCCATGGGCAGGACCAGAGCTGGGCAGGTAGATGGAGCTTGGCCACCATGCAGAACCGAACTGGAAACTGTACTGTGGGCCTCCTGGCAGGAGTCGATCTGATTTCTGAAGGTTGTTTTGTAAATGGTAACTCATGGCCCCGCTGCAGACAATTTCCAGGCAGGTTGTCGTGTGCAAGAGTGAGCAGGGACAAATCACTTGTGAACAGCAAGGACTAATTCAGCCACAAGGGTCAGTCCATAGCACTCTGCATTTGTGCAGGAACCAGGCTCTGCATGAAGTTTCACATGACACCCTTTCTGAATTACAAAGATGAATGTCTTTTAAAGAATTTTTAGCATTAATGCAAAAAGTACCTGCTATCTTGAAGTAAAGGAGTTCTAGTGTTTGTATTGTCCATAGCACTTTCAAATGAAGAAGCCACAGTTGTGAGGAATAGTGTGACTGGCTCATCATGTCTATTAGGGAGATAGACATGACCCCTGCATGCACCGTATAGCTTGTGCCCCTTGTCGTTAAGGTCCACTCTGACTCACAGCCCTTACTAATGCAGTGGGGCTTACTAATACACAGGCACCCTGTGCCATGCACTGGAATGTTGCCTGTCGCAGGGCTCTGGCACAGGTGCCCCACCTGCACCAGAACTGGAAAGTGGTAAACACAAAAGACTTTTAAGTTCTTACCTCTAAAATATCTATAGATTGGTAGGAGAATGTCTTCAAAAATTTGATTCCTGAAAGAATGGTGATAGGTGTGATTCTGAGCATGATTAACAACTAATTCTGAATCCTCCAAAGCCAATTACCACCAATTTGAGGGACTTTCATGAGAGGAGAAGATGACCAAGTGTCTTGACCTATCTCACTCACTTCTGGGAATCATCTGGTGTCTGTCTCTGATGGGAGGACAGTGGAGGCTGTTGGACAGATGGGTGCAGAGGGCTTGGGGAACAGGAGGCAAAGTCTTCTCCCTCTTCAGACCTCAGGCTGACACCCACTGCCATCCAGGCAGGGCCTTCCTTCCCCCAGGTCCCTGGGAGCTTCTCATCCAGCTCTGGGATCATATATATTCAAACGTTATTTGAGTGCTGCATCCAGTACAGCACAGTGTCCCCAACAGAATGTGAACTGGAACCTGCAGTTTCCATAGCTTGCAAAAGAGCCCATACTTTCTATTTTGAAAGTCTCTGCAATAAAGACACAAATTTGAGATGTGACCACACAAATGATACCTGCATGCACCATGTAGCTTGTGCCACTTGTCATTAAGGTCCACTGATTCACAGCTCTTACTAATACAGTGGGGCATCTGCCCTGGCACTTCCGTCCTCCTCTGGGAGGCTCCACCAACTAGCGGGGCGACATGCGGCTTCCTCTTCCTTCCAACACCGAGAAGACCATGACCTCACTGACTTCACTTTTCACGCCATAGCTTCCCACTCGGGCTGACCTGCAGATGCACCCCTCCCAGGAAGGTGGTGCTGTGGACACACCATCAGGGTGTGCCTGGACTTGGAGAGACGGACTGGCTGTGATCTGTCCCCACTCTCACAAGTTTCAAATGAAACACTGGGCACACCTCTTCGCTGCTGGGCACCTGCCCTTAGATAAGATGTCCAATAAAAAATGGGGACTCACAGCCTGATAAAATCTAATTGTTTATGAAAATAACAAAACAGCATATTTGAAATAATGACCATCCCAGGAAATATGGGACATATGGTCACTGAGCCTGTAAGAGAATTATCCCATCCTAAGCAGAAATGAAGGAGGCACTGTGCATGTCTTCCTCTGCCTGGCCACGTTCTGTGGTAGCCAAGAATGGCCCAGATCTGCAAGTATTGGAGAACTAGCAGCTAGAGCAATACGAATCATAACCACTGTTGGCATTTGTTTTATGACTACTTGAAAATTGTGCCAACTCTGATATTACAATCACCAGATTGCTAATATTAAGAAAATACTGGGGTACAGAAATATAAAAGACATTGTCATTGCATTTAAGGGAAAGCAGTCTGTCACCCAAGCTGATTATTTTAAATTTCCAGAACCTAGGGGCTGACCTACCACTTCAACTGAAAACGTCACAGGCTGTAAATGTCATAAGCAGTTTGTATCCAGTGCCTTGGGGAAGGTGGCC